TGTCTGTCAGCCCCATTGCCAAAGCAGAAGCCATAATTGGTCTGTGCTGGTTTCAAGGTTGTTTATTCTGTTTATCTCTAACATGTTCTGCTGCCCTGCCGCAGCTCTGTCCTGCAGGGCAGCGTGTGGGGCTCTGCCCTCAGTGGGATGGTACAAACATTAAATACCACAAACTACCTGTGCTGGATTTACAATAACGTGCCAATATCTGTCACCTACGTTGGACAGTGTGTCCCCAGCCTGAACCAACAGAAAAATGCCAACACCGCAGTGAAACATGGAGGGCATGAAGAAGGAGAAAAAGGACAAGACACACCCAATTTCCTCCACCTTGTCCCCTTTGCACCCCTCATCTAGAATCCTAAAATTCTACTTTTGCACCCGTGCCACACTTAATTATTACTCATATCAAACACTCAGAGCTGGTAATTGATCCTGTAAGATTGAAAACTCTTTTCCATGGACAGAGATCACAACCAGTGTCTCTGGGGCTCTGTCCAGGGGGGTTCCTGACCCCTGCCAGGGTCCCAGGGCAGCCAGAGGGAAGCTCTGGATTCCCACAGCTGCCAGCCTGGAAAATGGGCCGGGAGGGGCTGAGAGTTCAGTGCTGGAGCTGTGGCAGGAATAAAGGGAAAAGGCAGAAATCCTTCCCTGTTCATCTCAGGCTGCACCAGGGATCCGCACCCGGTGCCTAAAGCTCTGCTGTTCCAGCCTGCGGCTCACAGGAGGTGTCAGGGGAGATAAATTCACCCCCCTCCCTCCAGATTTTGCTTATAAATGCTGGAGAACCCCAAATTCCATCGCAGCCCTTTAACGTGTGGCTCATTTTTTGTGCTGTGGGGTCTTTAACCCCTGCCCCCACCGCTGCTCTGGGCAGACCCAGGGGAACTCCGGAGCCCAATAAATCTGTCACATCCCTGAAATCCACTTTAAAAATTCCCCAAGGAGCAGAGCCAGCCCCACAAATCACTTCGGATGCAAATTTATGGCGCGGCCGGGGCCAAGTGGGGTTTTTGATTCACAAAGTTCTCGCCCAGGGGCTTGGCCAGGACAAGGTGAAGGTGACCTTGGGGTTGTTGGCTTGGAGCAGGGACCGAGTTCTTGGCGGGGAAGGAGGGAAATGTGAGGACAAACCATGGAGAAGGGAGATAAGCAGCACAGCGAGGCCAGGGCACAGCTGGAGCTGCTGAGCGAGGAGAGAGGATGTGGGTTTTGTTTCCTTTTCTGATTTCTTCGGAATTAAAGGGCTGGAAAATGGGCGTCCTGCAAGGCCAAAATTGAGGGAATTCCCCCGGCTTGGCTTTGTGCTGCCTCGCTGCTTGGTATCAGCAGTGTAAATATGATTTTTTAGTGATTTTTCAGCCTGTGGGTGTTGATATTTTGGAGTTGCTCAGGTAATTTGCTCAGTGTACTCTGGGGCATGGAGGTGCCTGCTTGGAATATTTGGATTTCTTCCCGAATGAGAAGAAAATGCTGGATTATTGAAGGGAGAGCTGGGCTGGGCTGATGCTTGTGGGTCTTGTTGGTAGCCCAAGGAGCATTTTTATTGCTCAGAAATACTTCTGCTGCTGAGAAGCAGAATAAATCCTTGTTTTCCAGAGCTTTGGCTGGCTGATGAGGAAGGAATTCAGATTTATTGGCTTCAGTGATGACTGAAGCTGATGTCCCAGCCTGGAATTGGGAGCAAAAAAAACCCCCATGGGACTGGGGACATCGGGGCCTGGTGTCACCTCCCTGTCCCTGCAGGCCATTCACACCTGGGATGGGAGCAAGCTGAAAATCCCAAAAAAATGGCAAAATGGCCTTTTTTTTTATGCAGCAGGGAGAGCAGAAAGGCTGAAGTGGGCGCTGGTTTATCAGGATTTCACATCAACAGGAAGCCAGCTCTGGGAGGTGGGGGGGAAGTTCCAAACAATGCTTTTCTGGGAAGTAAAAACAAGATTTTAATGAACTTTTTAAGTGAAATTCTGCTGGGGAAGTGAGGGTTCCTCATGAAATAAACAAAAAGCTGGAGGTTTTGCACATGTGGGGGAGCTCTGAGAGCTCCTCGCTCTCAGCTGATGGTCATGGGGCGCCTCGAAAATTTGCTATTTTTGCCTCAGCTGGATCTTAAAGCTGCCTTGAAGAATATTGTGGCAGTGCCCAGGTGGGATCTGCTGGGGGGTTTTTCCTCCTCTGCCTCTGCCTTTCCCTCCCAAACCCCATTTTTGGCCCCATGGCTCAGCCCAGGTTGGACTTGGCTCCCAGCTCGGCTGATTTGGCTTTTGCAGGTGCTTTGTTGCTGTTAAAACATCCCCAGACTTCCCCCTCCCTTCCGGTGGTTGCCTTTTATTAAGAGCTTTTTAATCTCTGATATTAACAGGAAAATAATTTCCTCACCCACCTCTCGGTTCTGTCAGCTCTGAGAGGCTTTTGAGCAGCTTTTGGAGGTGTTTGCTGGGGATACAAATGCAAAATATATTTATTTTTGTGTCTCTATTTAAATATCTGCTCCCAAATGAATTGATGTTGAGACTGCAGTAATTTTACTCCATCAATTCCCTCATTTGATTAATTAAATTAATCTTGTGCTGATTAGCTTTATTTTATTTTCAGAATATTGGGAAATATCCCTCATGAAAGCTGGGAGAGCTGAGGAGTTTTAAACAGGTTATCAATGGTGCTTTTAGCCAAAATAAGTGAAAATTTTAAAGCGCAGGCGTGAAAAATGCAGATTTATGATTGGCTCTTTGAAAATATTACAATGAATATTATATGTGTAATGTTAGAAAGTTATGCTGTATTAATTCTCTTACGTAGTGTGTTAAGTGTAGTTTTAGGTTACAACATAATGTTAAAATAGAGATTATGGATGTGGGGGGAGTTTTCTTTTTAGGGATGAGATACTCGCTTTGAGGAACACCCAAATCTTCCAAAAGAGAGGAATTTATGGTTTTCTTATCAGAAAAAATGAATTTCTTCAGGCCTTGCTCAGACTCAAAGACACCAGGGGATTAAAGGAAACAATTGACATACAACAGACAGAGTTTCTTGTTTTAAATAGAATGTATGCATAACCATAAAGGATATATGAATATGCAACAAGTGTATTGGTTTAAGGGTGATTCCTTTGTTCACAAGGGATGCTTTTCCTGACTTAGTGTCCAACATCTGTAATTCTTTGCTTTTTATTGTCTTGTAATTGTCCTAACTCTAAACTTTATTCCTCTAATTGTATTATTATTTTTATAACCATTTTATTATTATTAAACTTTTAAAATTTTTAAAAACCAAGTGATTGGCGTTTTTCACAGCAGGGAAGGATCTTTTTGTTTCTCATCCCACGCTGGAATGAGGGGGGAATTCCTGGACTTCCCTCAGGCTCTGAGCCTCATGTGAGGATGGTGCCAGAAGTTTCCCAGCTGGAAAAACGGGATTCCTGCAGTCCCACAGGGCTGAGTCAGGACTGGGAACTGGGAACAGCCCGGGACAGGATAGTTGGGAAGGCTGAGCTGGACCTAAAGAATAAAAAAGAATAAAGCAGGGATTTATTAAAATTATCTCCTCAATGCATCCACCTTGAGCAGCACAAGAGCCCGGCCAGGGCTGCACCCAAAATGAACCAAAACGGTCCCAAAATGCACAACAGGCCATGGGGTCTGTCACTTTTATTAAGTTTTGGCCCAAATGGTCCCAAAATGGAAGACAGGCCATGGGGTGTGTCACTTTTATTAAGTTTTGGCCCAAACGCTCCCAAAATGGAAGACAGGTCGTGGGGTCTGTCACTTTTATTAAGTTTTGGTCCAAACGGTCCCAAAATGCACAACAGGTCATGGGGTCTGTCACTTTTATTAAGTTTTGGCCCAAACGGTCCCAAAATGGAAGACAGGTCATGGGGTCTGTCACTTTTATTAAGTTTTGGCCCAAATGGTCCCAAAATGGAAGACAGGTCATGGGGTGTGTCATTTTTATTAAGTTTTGGTCCAAATGGTCCCAAAATGGAAGACAGGCCATGGGGTCTGTCACTTTAATTAAGTTTTGCTCCATCAGCAGGTTGGAGTTCATTGTCCAATTCCAGCTTTAGCTGATGAAGTCCCGTCCTCCTTGTTTTGTGCCTTCAGCCCACCTTGTTTAAACTTGCCCTGCTTGTCCTTGGTGCCCAGCTGGAGCAGGAATTGTTTTGTCTCTCTGCTCTGTGCTCACCAATCCCCAGGGTGAAGCCCAGACCCACAGACTAAAATTGCTCAGAATGTGAAAAATAGAAAAGCTCAAACCTGAGGCACCATTTCCCCTCCCTGGGAGCTGGTTTTGATTTATTAAAAAAATCTGGATATTGATCTAGTACCGATATCCAGCTGTGATGGACAAAAACTCTCTAACAGTTTAGAGTTAGAAAGTTTGTGTTTATTGTGTGTGGGATCGCTCCCAAATCCACACTGCAGCTTCCAGGTGATTACAGAGCCTTTTTATCCATACAAGTGTTGAATACCCAAAATACAAATGCATATTCATCATTTTGGTACATCCCATTCCTCATTTCAAAAGCCATTCCCAGGGATGGAGGGACAGGACACAGGGAATGGCTTCTAAAGGAAAAGGGGAGGTTTGGGTGGGATATTGGGGAGGAATTCCTGGTGAGGAGGGGCTGGGATGGAATTCCCAGAGGAGCTGGGGCTGCCCCTGGATCCCCAGAAATGTCCAAGGTGAGTTTGGAGCACCCTGGGACAGTGGGAGGTGTCCCTGCCCTGGCAGGGGAGGCTCTGGATGGAATTTCAGATCCTTCCATCCCAAACCATTCCAAGTTTTGCCAGGAGTTCCTTGTCCACATCCCCACCCGAGTGCCCAACTCCCTGCCCGCCTCTCGTTCAACTTTCAGCCACATCCCCTTTTCTCCAAGGAAATTCCTGCCTTTTTCACCGTTCCATGAGCACATTTCTGGGCATTTTCTGCTGATCACCAGCTTTGCCCGGTGCTGGGGACCCCGAATTTTCAACCTGCCCGGTCCGTGTGACACCGTGAGGTGCAAACCTTGACTCATCCAGGCATTCCTGGGAAAAGCCTGACTCACGGGAGCCCATTGCCGGCTCAGGGCTCTAATTACGGGGCTGTGCCCATCTCGCCAGCGTGGGAACCGGAGCTATTAAGCCCCTAAAAAGCTCCCGATCATTCCCAATCCATTAATGTTTCTAATTAGTTAAACCCGACGCCTCTTTCCCTCGCTCGTGTTCTCGGAGCGTGCAGCCACAGCTCCATTATGTAATGATCCCCTCGGCGCTGCGAGACTCACACCGGGCTATTCTTTACTATCGTTTTATTTCATTTATTCGCGTGTGCCGCTTCCCAGGAGCTGATGAGGGGATGGACGAGCCGGGTAAATGGAAGTTGGGCTCTAATTAGCGGCCGGGGGGGTGGGCAGGAGCGGAGCGGCGCCGTTCGGGGCGGTTGGGGCGGTTACCGGGGGTTCAAACCCGTTGGCAGCTCGGGAGCTCGGCTGCTCCTTCCTCGGGGCTTTGGCTTCTCATTCCCGGTCCCTCTGTCCCTTCCTTCCGAGGAAACCATCTCCACGGCAACCTCCAACCTCCGGGCTCTGCCTCGGAGCTGCTCAGCCGTCCCCAGGACATTGGTAAGTGGCTCTGCCAGGAGGTGAGGGATGGAGCTGGGCTTGGTGAGGGGTGGGGGACCCCCTCGTGTCCCCTCGTCCCCCTCGAGGCTTAAAAAGGGGTGGCTGGAGCTGTCCCGCTGTGGGAAAAGCGCTGGAGGGGGTGGCTGGGTCGAGGTCGCCCCAGCCTTGGGTTGGGGACACGGTGTCCTGGCTGGTCTGGGTGTCCCTGGGGACACAGATTGAGGTTTTTTTTTCCTCAGAGCACCCCCAAGTTTAGTTAGCTGGGTTTGTAATGAAGAATATAAATTGATAAATAGCTTCTAGGAACATAAGACAATTGTGGCCTCCTCTGTTCTGAAACCAACTGAAGACAAGGAATGGGAGTTCTACCAAGAGTTCATTTGTCATGTTTGCATTGAAAAGGTAGAAAGGTCAGAAGGAGGAAAAAACTTGGGGGTGGTCTTGGACAGAGCACAACCACTCCTGATCCCGATTTTCCATCGTATTTGGGAGAGCAGCAGGTGGAGATGGGGACTCTGTCCCCTCCTGGAGCTGGGTTTGGAGCTGGTGTCACCACGTGGGGACATTCCCGGTGCCACGTGGAGGGGGAGGGAGCACAGAGGGTCCTGTGAGCTGGGCTGGGGGTGCCTGGCAAAGGGGAGTGGCTGGAAAAGGCTCAGTTCTGCAATAAACGGGATTAAAGTTGGATTTTTAGAGGAAACAGCTCAGTTCTGGAATAAACGGGATTAAAGTTGTGGAGCTGCGTGGCAGCACGTTTCTCTCCCTCTCAGGATTTTTCACAGAGGTGCATAGAGAGAAATGAAAGAGAAAACAATTTCTATTTCTGCTCCTTTTTTTTCTCATGTGGAAAAATGTGTTTGGAGAATTGTTTACCTGGGGTGAGTGCTGGGCAAAAGCTGATAGGCCAAAAAAATGCTTATAATGCATTGTAATTAAAAAATAGTTGGCTTCTGATTGTAATGGCGTGAATTATAACAATTGAATATATAATATGTATGAATATAATATATATATATATATAAAAAATATATAAAATTTAAATTATATCTGTATTGCCTCACCCTTCACATGAGACTAAAAACAGAATAAAAATTTGTAAAGTGCCTCTCAGTTAGTCCATCTCTGGCTCAAAAAAGAGCCAAATCCTCCAGGCAAGGCTCGGGATGCCTGGAGCTGGTGCTGTGTCCCCGCGGGGCTGACCCTCGCTGTCCCCTTGTCCCCAGGGCAGGATGAAGCTGCTGGGGGTGGCACTGGTGGCACTGGCCCTGCTCCTCCCGGGCGCCCGGGGCAGTGAAACCTCCCGGACCTGCATCTTCCAGAGCCTCAGTGAGTCCGAGCGCGGGTTCTGCAGGTGAGCTGTGCTCTGTCACCCCTGTCCCTGCCCAGGCTGGCCCCTGTCACTGCCCAGGCTGGACATTCCCTCTGTGTCACCCCCCGGCTCCGTTCATTCCACTGTCCCTTTGCCTCTTTTCCTTCTTTTTCCAAAATTGGGCCCTGTGGGAACCCAGAGCATCCCTCTGGCTGCCCTGGGACCCTGGCAGGGCTCAGGAACCCCCCTGGACAGAGCCCCCAGAGACACTGGCTGTGATCTCTGTCCATGGAAAAGAGTTTTCAATCTTACAGGATGAATTACAAGCTCTGAGTGTTTGATATCAGTAATAATTAAGTGTGGCACAGGTGCAAAAGTAAAATTTTAGGTTTCTAGATTAGGGGTTCAGAGGGGACAAGATGGAGGAAATTGGGTGTGCCTTGTCCTTTTTCTCCTTCTTCATGCCCTCCATGTTTCACTGTGCTGTTGGCATTTTTCTGTTGGTTCAGGCTGGGGACACACTGTCCAACGTAGGTGACAGATATTGGCACGTTATTGTAAATCCAGCACAGGTAGTTTGTGGTATTTAATGTTTGTACCATCCCACTGAGGGCAGAGCCCCACACGCTGCCCTGCAGGACAGAGCTGCGGCAGGGCAGCAGAACATGTGAGAGATAAACAGAATAAACAACCTTGAAACAGCACAGACCAATTATGACTTCTTTAGCAACAGAGCAGAAAGAAACTTTTTACACTCTCAGAATCATCAATACCTCAGATTCCAACAGGGCTCCATCATTAGCAGATATCAAAATTAAACCCTCAGAGTTCAATTGAGCCACAGCCATAATCTAATTTTCTATTGAGCTGTGCTGTTTTTCTCTTGTTAACTCACACGTGCAATTCAGTTGGCAACCGGTTTAAAATGTTCTCTTGGCAGAAATACTCGAAATGCTCACCGGTACAGCTTGGAAAAATTTGCATTTCGGTAAAAATCAGCCACTCAAAGCAAAAAAAACAACCTGGGTGCAAGTTGAGATCGGCAAGAAAGATTTCACCAAAGCCAGGGGGTGTCTCTGGGCACCTGCAGTGCTCCCCAGGAATTCCCTCTGGGAATTCCATCCTCACCCTCCCAGCCAGGGAATTCCATCCTCACCCTCCCAGCCAGGAATTCCTTCTGGGAATTCCATCCCCACCCTCCCAGCCAGGAATTCCTTCTGGGAATTCCATCCCCACCCTCCCAGCCAGGGAATTCCATCCTCACCCTTCCAGCCAGGAATTCCCTCAGGGAATTCCATCCTCACCCTCCCAGCCAGGAATTCCTTCTGGGAATTCCATCCCCACCCTCCCAGCCAGGAATTCTCTCTGGGAATTCCATCCTCACCCTCCCAGCCAGGAATTCCCAGAGGGAATTCCATCCTCACCCTCCCAGCCAGGAATTCCTTCTGGGAATTCCATCTTCACCCTCCCAGCCAGGAATTCCCTCTGGGAATTCCATCCCCACTTTCCAGCCAGGAATTCCTTCTGGGAATTCCATCCCAACCCTCCCAGACAGGAATTCCCAGAGGGAATTCCATCCCCACCCTCCCAGCCAGGAATTCCTTCTGGGAATTCCATCCCCACCCTCCCAGCCAGGAATTCCCAGAGGGAATTCCATCCCCACCCTCCCAGCCAGGGAATTCCATCCCCACCCTCCCAGCCAGGAATTCCTTCCCAAAATCTGCTGAAGATCACGCCAGGAGTGCAGGAATTTAAAATGCTCTTCAGCAGATGTAGGGAAGGAATTGATAATTACAATAATCCACACTAACCTCGTTATCCCACCCTATTCCCAACCCCACCCGAGCCCTCCCTGGCAGCGATTCCCACATTTTCCTGCCTTGTCCCGTTTTTCCAGGGGGGATTTGGAAGTCATCTACCCCGAGGTGGGCGACGTGAGCTGCTCCTACATCCCCAAGTGCCGGGGGTACCGGCGGCGGCTGAGCCGGGACTGGGGCCCGCCCCGCGTCCGCCTCCCCTGGGCCCAGAAGGTGAGACCGGCCCCGCTCCGGCTTTTCCCGGGATCGGGGGGACTTTGGGATCCTTTTCCCACTTTTTCCTCATCGATTCTGGGCTTTGGTTGGAGGCTGAGCTGTGGATAAATGGAATTGCATTTTTTTTGCTGAGATTTTTCTCATTTATTTATTATTTTTTTCCTACACCGTGGTCATTAAATCACTTTTTTTTACATTCAGAGTTTTTTTGCTACACTGAAACCCTCTTTATATTTTTACATTTATATTTTTACGTTTATATTTTTACATTTATAATTTTACTTTTATATTTTTGCATTTATATTTTTACATTTATATTATTTTTACATTTATATTTTTGCATTTATATTTTTGCATTTATATTTTTACGTTTATATTTTTACTTTTATATTTTTACATTTATATTTTTGCATTTATATTTTTGCATTTATATTATTTTTACATTTATATTTTTACATTTATATTTTTACATTTATATTTTTGCATTTATATTATTTTTACATTTATATTTTTGCATTTATATTTTTACATTTATATTTTTACATTTATATCTTTACATTTATATCTTTACATTTATATTTTTACATTTATATTTTTACATTTATATTTTTACATTTATATCTCTACATTTATATTATTTTTACATTTATATTTTTACATTTATATTTTTTTACATTTATATTATTTTTACATTTATATTTTTACATTTATATCTTTACATTTATATCTTTACATTCATATTTTTACATTTATACTTTTACATTTATATTTTTACATTTATAGTTCATATCGATAGTTTATTCTATTATTTTAAAAATATTTTATAGTTGTATTTTTAATTTTTTATATATATATATTTTTTTTTTCCTTTGGCCACTTACCTAATATATTTTTCTTCTACATCGCACCCATTTTCCCGCTATTCCAGCCACATTGTAGCCATTTAATGAATTATTTTCACCATATCACCACATTCCAATTTAGAATATTTGCTGCATTGTAACTATTATTTCCTCTATAAATGCAGCCATTTATAATTTTCCCTACATTAACTTTTAAAACAATTAATTATTTTTTTTATATCCTGTGACCATTTAAGCAGCCACAAGGTAGCAAAGAAATTAAATTATTTTTTCTGCACACATTGCCACTTAATCATTTAATTTTTTGCTATTTGCAGCCTCCTAATGATTTAATTTTGTGCTCCATCATGGCTATTTTTTAAAAAGGAATTAAATAGCCACAATGTACAAAAAGTAGGAATTAAGTGGCCACACGTAGATAAAAATTTGATTAATTTTATTTATGTTGTGCCCACTGTATATTTATATTTTCTGCTACATTTTGGCCGCTTCAATTTTGTTTCCTCTGCTCTGACTATATAATTTTTGGTATATTCAGAGCACTGAATTTTTTTTTCCGTTCCATTTTGCCACAACTCAGCCAAAAAAACCCCAAAATTCAATTTAAACCTTTTCACTGCGGATTTTATTTTTGTTGTCAACTTTTCAAAGCCATCCCGGCCTCGGGCTGAGCTCTGGGGTCGGCGCTGGAGTTTGGGGTTTGGGGTCGGCGCTGGAGTTTGGGGTCGGCGCTGGAATTTGGGGTTTGGGATTGGGGTTTGGGATCGGTGCTGGAGTTTGGGGTCGGCGCTGGAGTTTGGGGTTTGGGATGGGTGCTGGAATTTGGGGTTTGGGGTCGGCGCCGGGGTTTGGGGTTGGTGATGGAGTTTGGAGTTTGGGGTCAGCGCTGGAGTTTGGGGTTTGGGGTTGGCGCTGGGGTGGGTTTGGGGTCAGCGCTGGAATTTGAGGTTTGGGGTCAGCGCTGGAGTTTGGGGTCAGCAACGGATTTTGGGGTTGGCACTGGAATTTCCAGTTTGGGGTCGGCACCAGAGTTTGGGGTTTGGGGTCAGCTCTGGAGTTTGGGGTTTGGGGTTGGCGCTGGAATTTGGGGTTTGGGGTCAGCGCTGGAGTTTGGGGCTTGGGATCGGGACTGGAGTTTGGGGTTGGCACTGGAGTTTGGGGTCAGCGATGGATTTTGGGGTCGGCACTGGAATTTCCAGTTTGGGGTCAGCAATGGATTTTGGGGTCGGCACTGGAATTTCCAGTTTGGGGTCAGCGCTGGAGTTTGGGGTTTGGGACGGGCACCAGAGTTTGGGGTTTGGGACTGGCGCTGGAGTTTGGAATTGGGGCTGGAATTTGGAGTTTGGGGTCGGTGCTGGAGGTGAGTTTGGGGTCGGCGCTGGAATTTGGGATTCACGATGGAATTTGGGATTCACGATGGAATTTGGGATTCACGATGGAATTTGGGATCGGGGGTGCGCCCCCCGGTGCTGCTGTTCCCTCCGGCCACCACCAGGTGGCAGCATTGAACTGCCCGAGCTCCAGCGCCGCCGGGACTGGGAGGGACTGGGAGGGACTGGGAGGAACTGGGAGCGCCCAGATCTGCGCTGAGGGTGCGGAGGGGACAAGAAATTGGGGTGACATTGCGGTATTTTTGGGGACACCCCGCGCCGTGCCCTGCTGTGCGATCTCAAATCCGCCCCAGGATGCGGCATCGTCTCGTAGGGTTCCCAAATCCCGGTGGAATCCTCGCTGGCACCCCAAAACCTCCCTATCCCAATAATTTCCGTAATTCCCATGGCCAGCTCCAGCCCTGGGAGCTGCTAAGGGAGAAGTCAGCTCTGCTGGAGGTGTGAAAAATCCGTTTTTTCCGGCTCTTCCCCGCCGTCTGGGAAGTCTCTTCCCCCTGCGGATCACATGGTTGGAAGGAGAACTTTTCCTTAAAGATGTAAAGATGTCTGATTCTTCCCAAAAAATCCTCCTTCCTGGCAGAGGCTGCTGCCCGCAGACCCATCCCCGCCTTTCCAGGAGCTTGAAGTTTCCCAGGGATGTGGGCAGTTGTTTTTCCTTGAATTTTAATCCTGGAAAGCAAATCCAGGGCCGGGAGAAGGGAAGGGACTCTCCGGGGATGGAATGCTGCTGCTGGAATCTGTGGGAAGGATTTTGGGGAGCAGAGCCAGACCCTGCCAGGCTGTGCCAGTGGGATGCAGGGATGCAAAAAGCAGGGAAGGCTGAGGGAGGGCGGCGCCTGTTTATTTTGGGATGGAATTCCAGCTGTGCCTCGGGGGTGGCAGGTCCCCAGGGAGCCCCTGGCACGGGTGGCAGCTCCTGCTGGCATCGCTGGCATCGGGAACGGCTCCGCTGGTGGATTTGGCACCGTTCCCTTCGGCACATCTTGAGCTGAGGCGGCATCTGAGGACACGGGGCCCCGCTGCTTCCCGGGATTTGGGGTGCCTTTCTCCTCTGGCCTTCCCCCCAAAAAACCTCCCCAGCTCTGCACAGCTGGAATGATCCAGCTGCATTGTCCAAACCAGGAATTCATTTCACGTGGCCTTAAACCCCTCATAGAGATCTGGCTCTCCTCAGGTTTTTAATAGGAATATACAATTTTCTTACCCCTGAACCTCTAAGGATGCTTTGGGATAGTGTTTTCCCCTCCTAAGCTCACCCTAAATTGAGTGGGAACAAGAGCTGTGGCATGAGAGTTGTTTTTATGCTTTGTGTGGGTATTTCTAAACCCAAGAAATTTGATTATTCCTAATTTATTCCCAAATGGGAGTGGGGGAAATTTGGCAAAGCGAGGAGATCTCCATCTCCCTGTGGTGCTCCAGTGGGATGCTCCAGCTGGGTGATCCTGGATGGGGTGGGGAGGGCTGGCTGGAAGGGCTGGAGATGCTTTTCCCATCCAAATCCGTGGCAGAAAATCTCGGGGTTTGAGGATGCAAACTTGTGTAGGAAGTGTCGGCTCTCTGTGGAACACTTTGTCTCTTCAAGAAAAACAACCACCAAAAAAGCCAAATGCGGAGTGTTTGTTTTTCTCTCTAGAAATATTTATCAGTTTTCTGAAAAGAGGGGGGGGAGGGAATGGGAGGTTTCCCGTTCTTGTCCCAGATATTTGGGATGGGTTTGGCATCACCTTTGTGCCCTCAGCTGCCCAGGGAAGGGAACATCGATGGTTTGGGGTGAAGCAGCTGAAAGTGGGGTGGCATCTTGCAAAGCTGAGCTGTGACGGCAGCAAAATCCAGCCTGGGGGACTTTACTGCGTCATTTTAGGGTGGATTTGAATATTTTGTCATGTTTAAACATTGAGCTGTCAAAGCCAGCTTTGTCAAACATCCATTTACTGCCCAAAAAACCCATTTTGGGGCAGTTTTTAGTGCCGTGAGAGCACCCACTGTGTGTGGGGGCTTCTCAGTGAGCAGCAGGCTCAGGGAAAGGAGCCAGGGATGCACTGCCAGGGACAGGAGAGTGGTTCTGGAGGGTGGAGACCCTGGAGGGCAACCTTGAACTGCTCTGCCCTGGTGGGCAGAGATCTGGGAGTGTCAGGAGATCAACCCTGGGAGGTTTGGGATGTTCCATCCCTGGAAGATCAGCCCTGGGATGGTCAGAATGTTCAATCTATAGGAGATCGCTCCTGGGATGTTCAGAATGTTCCATCCATGGGAAATCAGCCCTGGGATGTTTGGGATGTTCAGTTCATGGGAGATCAGATCTGGGATGTTCAGAATGTTCAGTTCATGGGAGATGAGCCCTGGGATGTTCCATCCCTGGAAGATCAGCTCTGGGATGTTTGGGATGTTCAGTTCGTGGGAGATCAGATCTGGGATGTCCAGGATGCTGAATCCATGGGAAATCAGCCCTGGGATGGTCAGAATGTTCCATCCATGGGAAATCAGATCTGGGATGTTTGGGATGTTCCATCCATGGGAAATCAACCCTGGGATGTTCCATCCATGGGAAATCAGCCCTGGGATGTTCCATCCATGGAAGATCAGCTCTGGGATGTTCCATCCATGGGAGATGAGCCCTGGGATGTTCAGGATTTTCAGTCCATGGGAGATCACTCCTGGGATGTTCAGAATGTTCAATCCATGAGAGATCATTCCTGGGATGGTCAGAATGTTTGATCCATGGAACATCAGCCCTGGGATGTCC